GAAAACTGAAACGAAAGCAGAGTGTGCTGGAGAAGCACAGCAGGTCAGCAACATCTGTTGAGAGAGAAACAGAGATAATGTTTCAAGTCCTGTCATCAGAACCATTCTGACGAAGGGTTACTGGACCCAAACAGTTAACTCTGTCTTTCTCTCAACAGATTTGCTGTGTTTCTCCAGCTCTCTCTGCTTTCGTCTCTGAAACTATGTCCGACTTTACATTATGCTTGGGGCTTTGAGGAATTGAGATGATATTACAAACAATAAAATATTTTAAAAATGTAAATGTAAGACTATTGCTATCTTATCTTAAAAAATAGGAAATATAGAGCTTGTATCTATGCTTTATATATGGAGGTTCATTCACAATGATATAAAATTCAAAGTGACTGTTGAAACCACTGTGTCAGACAATGATTTGCAAATGAGTTAGGACGTGCAACCAGCAGGCCTTAAAGGAAAATGAATTTTACAGTCGCTAACATCAAAACAAATAAAGTCGATTTAAAAAGAAATCTAGAAAGAACAGCAAACAGAAATTATCCATAACATCAATTACTGTCACTTACGGCAGGGGGTTTCTATGTGTGATTGATGAGGAAATTATCCAGTCTTCTCCATACAGGCTGCGAAAAGTCTGTGAAAAATGAGGTTGATTAAAAAAAACATCTTTTTCAGTTATCTACTTGCTTAATAAAACACCCTGATGTCTTATAAATTATATTGCATAAAGAAGAAAATAATACTTGTGCTACAAAGTATATGATAGGTTATGATATTTTTGTAAACTAGCATTTAGTCTGGTATTTTTAAAATGAATCGCAGGCTACATGTTAATTATTTATAGCATCATTATCACAGCTGCACACTTTTGATGGTTACTCAATGTCAAAACTTCTGAAACCTTGCATGCACAAATTATATAATTTCCTTAAAGGTTGCAACACATGCCAATGCTAATCCCTTTAATGTCCCAAATGTAATTGACAAATATAAGTGCATATTGTATACAATCATGCTTAGTTGCTTGAACTCAGTGTACTGAGATTCAAATAGATCACTGTGTAGTACACTGTAATTCAGAGAAAAGTCTGAAATGAACTTTACTTAGCAATGGCTGTATGATGGTTGCAAAATTGATGAGGTTCTTTCATATTCAATGTTCTTATGTAGCTGTGTCAAATCTTATGGTAAAAGATCAAAGCATAGTAACATAATACAGGAATAGAGTGGGGGAAAAATACAGTTTGTTTGTTTTAATAGTCTGCCCAATCCTCACTGCCTACTTCACTTCCTTAAAAATCCTTATGTTTTGATCATTCTAATTAAATGTGGTCAATTAAATCTGAAACATTAACTCTGTTTCTCTCCACAATGCTGCCTGGCATTGAGGTTTTCTCGTAATTTTGGTTCCCATTTCAGATTAACAGTCACTGTAGTATTTTGTTTTTGTGCTAGCCATTTAAGTTTTAATTTGTTCCCCTTTTTTTTGTAAATAAGTACAGATAAATCAGGGACATTGATTTTTGATAGCCAAGTTAACATTTGCTGTATTTACATCAGGGAAGTAATAAATATAATTTGAAAAAAAAGCACTAGAATGTAGTGTTGTAATACAGTATAGCAGTTGTCCATATAAGAATAGATTATGCTGCAGGCCATGGCAATGTGACATCAGAATGCCTTGAAATGTAAACAGAAACAATTTGCAACAAAGGAAATGGCTGCTCTGATGAGTTTCATTTAAAAAAATAACAACAGCAAGATAGGGGTAGTAAGAACTGTCGATGCTGGAGTCAGCGATAACAGTGTGGAGCTGGAGGAGCACAGCAGGGCAGGCAGCATCAGAGGAGCAGGATAGAACGGCGTCAAACCCACAGATAAGGGAGGCGCAGTAGTGGTATAGCGCACGGACCTTTACATAGCCAAGGCCAGGTGCCAACTTTCTGAGACCTCCTCCTACCGCCCCCTTGATCATGACCCCACCCTTGACCACCAGGCCATCATCTCCCAGCCCATCCATAACCTTATCACCTCAGGTGACCTGTTACCCGCAGCCTCCAACCTCATCGTTCCCCGACCCTGCACCGCCCGTTTCTATCTCCTTCCCAAAATCCACATACCTGACTGCCCCAGCCAACCCATTGTCTCTGCCTGCTCCTGCCCCACTGCATTTACCTCTGCTTGCCTTGAATCTGTTTTCACCCCACTGATCCAGGAACACCCCCATTTCTGAAGATGGGTCCTGACCCAAAACATCAATTTTCCTGCTCCTCTGATGCTGCCTGGCCTGCTGTGTTCCTCCAGCTCCACACTGTGTTATCTCTATTTATAATAGCAAGATAGGATTTTTTTTTTAAAATGATCATTTTAAAAAATAATTGAAACACTTCAATTCAAAAATATTTCCAGATTCAGAAAATAAAATAGTGTAGTATAATTAAACTTTTTGAATGATTAAACTCTTTGGAAAAAATCACAGCAATGTGGGTGTGCGTTATACGATGTGAAAGACAGCAGGGTATTTAACCAAAGGCTGCCCTACTCAGTTAGATATTATCTTAATTGTCTTCAAATGTAGTTAGAATCTGGTGAAATATTATGGAATATCATAGGTAAAATTCGAATCAGTAACAGATCTGAGCTTTACAATTTCACATCTGTGTAGTACATTCTTGTTTATTTCAAGTAACTGCAGTTTCTTATGTGATGTTGAGTTTTTCATATAGTAAGTAACATAAGTGACAAAAGTATAGTCACACCATTGTCTATATATAGCCTTTCTTTAAAGTTCCAAACCACTGGTATGACAATTGTGGAGATGTAGACTATACTGTTAGATGTCTGATCTCAAAAGCCTACTTTCTTAACCCATGATATGAGTGTGTCAAATATTATTAAAATAAGCAAGTGTAACATTAATATTTTGTGGCTTTACCCTCACCATTAGTCCTGGCTATAAAAAAATTTGGCCCTTTTAAGTTACATTGGTTATCATGCAAGGAGAAGCCACGATGGCTACATCAGATGACAATGCACAGTGCCAACATTAATTAAAAAAGGTGAAACTGGTGGGTGAATCTTCAGAGAACAGGGCTGTTACGCAATCTTATTGCCTTAGACCAAAGGCAAAACTGTAGCAATTCTCAGTGAAACCATTCTCCTTTACAGCACCACCTGCAGTAATCCTTCCAACTCTTTCAAATTGAAGAGAAACGTGGGCTACATATTGCTAACGTGCTGTTTAAGCATTCAAACAATTTAGCTTTTATAAAAAACTTCTCCTTTTCATGCTGAGCCATTGTTATTTTACTATGAGCTAAATCCTAGCACAATTCCTGTTGGTAAGATTTTCTTCATTAGTTTTTTCTTGGGCTGTGGGCATCATAGAGTCATAGAGTTGTAAAGCATAGAAACAGACCCTTTTGTCCAACTCGTCCATGCCAACCTTATAACCTAAATTAATCTAATACCATTTGCTAGCATTTGGCTGATATCCCTCTAAACACCTCCTATTCATATACCCATCCAGATGCCTTTTCAATGTTTCCACCACTTCCTCTGGCAGCTCATTCCATACACGCACCACCCTCTGTGTGAAAAAGTTGTCCTTAGGCCCCTTTTAAACTTTTCCCCTCTTACCTATGCCCTCTAATTTTGGACTCCCCTACCCCGGGGAAAAGACCCTGGCATAGCCAGCATTTGTCGACCATCCCTACTGTCCCTTGAGCTGAGTACCTTGCTAGGCCATTTTAGAGGGCAGTTAAGGGCACATTGCTGTGGGTCTGGAGTCACATATAGACCAGACCAAATAAGGATGGAAGAATTCCTTTCTTAATGGCACATCAGTGAACCTTTTGGTTTTTACAACTTTAGATGGTGGTTTAATAGTTACAATCACTGAGACAGGTTTTCAATTACATTCAAATTCCACCAGCTGCCTTGATGGGTTTTTAAACCATGTCCTCACAGCTTTAGCCTGGGCCTCTGGATTAATAGTCCAATAAAATTATCACTATATCTCCGTCTCCCATTATGACAATATTTATATCATGTAATTCATCCTCTTCCAAATCTGAGGCTGGACACGTATGTAAATTGCGCCAGAAATTACACGCTTAAAAGAATTGAGCTGAGCAGAGTAACAGAGACTTTTGGAGGGTTTTAAAACTGCATCTATTCAAGAAGTGCAAGTCAGGTTAAAAAACTTTTTCTTTAAAGGTGAAAGGGGTTCTCTGGATTGACTAGCAACAATTCAGCACTTTTATCTGGAAATAACTGCACACACCCTGATGCAAGGGGAGATTGTGTGGCACAGTGAGTAGCAGCCATACGTCCAAGCCAGAAGCTCCAGGTTCAAGTTGCACTTCAGAGCTTGATGACAAGGAAAGTTTTCCTCATAACATGGCCAAACAAGTTCAACATTAACTTGAAAATCCTCCAGCACATGCCAATGGTGGATGATGAGAGATTCTTGGACAACCATGTGGTGGAAAGAGCATTGGAGATTCTACCATCACGATCTGCAGCTCTAGACTACATTGTGCATGGAAAACTACATGTTGCGTCAGCAGCACAGACTCCCTTAGTAAACTGCAACACACCACTGGGCTATGTAATAGAAATGAGTTTTTATTTTAGTCAACATTTAGTTCTATCCAACCAGCTGTTTGCTCAGTTTCCTATGATTATTCAATGACTTTAAATAAGTGAACTAGTATGTTCACTGCAGATTGGTAATTGTATTGAGAAGATCTAATTGCATCACTGTTTAACACCAAACTGCAAACAATTTAGAAATATGACTCAAACTGGCAAAATTCGATGCTGCCTGCTAAGTTTCTTAACTTTACAAGCTTTTAGTCTTATATATTTCATTTTATAACATCAGCATTTGACTGTGTGGATATATTGTAAAGCAATGAATTGTATTGGCAATGATACTGAAAGGTTTACAACTGCTACATATTCATTTATTTAATATATTGTCACTTTGTACCTAGGTACAGTGAAAAGTGGATAATGTCACCATGTTCCGGTGCTATTTTTGATTACAGAATAAATTACTGAATAAACTGTATAAATGGTAAGATACTGAATAAATTAATATTAAGTTGGTATTACTGAAACTGAAACAGCTTCAAAAGTACATCTTTCCCTCTCCATAGACTTCATGCTCTTTGCTCCTCTAGTTGCTCCCATCCAATGTTATCCTCGGGGTCCTGCCAATGTGCTCCTTTCTTGCAACCACAGCCTTCTGTGGGGAAATGCCTGCAACATCTTCCGTCACTTACTGTCACTCACCACAAACCCAACATCATTAATCCCTGCATGCCTTCTCTGCCGCCTACTTACTGTTCAGGGCATCTCCCAGTCTGCGCCAATAAGAACAGTTACGCCACCCACTTTCATCTCCTTTAATACCTGCTTCTGTCTTCTTCCAGGAGGAAAAGAGCACGTAAGGGCAGGAAGAGTCAAAATGGATGATGGACTGCCTGATATTTGGCTCCTTACCACTTACGTGGAGAGCACCTTGACTTGGATCACCCTGACCAGCTGACTGATCATGTCCAAGCCTCTAGACTGGTATCGGAGGCTCCCTTAGCCTTACTGTGCCTGGAGCCTCTAACTGAAGGCTATCTTCCTAGACTTGACTGAAGACTGCCGAGAACCATAATAAGCAGCACTGTGATATCTTTGGCTGAAGGACAAGTTGTGAAAAGGCAAGGCAGTAATGCTGTAAGCAAACAACTAAGCTCAAAGTGAGTGAGTGAGTGAGTGCTAAGAATGCAAGTGTACAGGTTAGCCCCCTGTGAGGGCCCAAGAATTCTTTCAATAAAATTGACTTCTCTTTGTATCCTTCCTTACAGATTACCTGCTCGTGGATCTCACATGGAGATCCCATATGAAATCCTCATGGCCTTGGCACAACTCTGAAGGTAACTTGAAGAAGCCAACAATTACAACTTCAGCAGGAACAGCAATCTCCAATGATTGGCACACTAACCCCAAAGGGAGAAGGAGCAAGTGAGGACCCAGCAAGGAGGTGGAGGAGATTGATGAGACCCTGCTTAAAAGCTGGATGAACACTGTAAAGTGTCATATGTATTTCTTTCTTTTTATACACTGTTATCTTGTAAATAAAAATAGTAATTTAACAGTTTGAAAAAGAGATCCTGCAAATCACATGCTCTGGGTAGAATTTATTAAAATAAGTAAAACTGCCAGAAATCGGCAGAAATTCTCAGAACTGTGGAGGTGTTCCTTGCACAATACTGGCTACAGATGGTTTAATCTGTACAGAGACTATGTTTGCCTTTGCATGCCTCCTTCAGTCAGCTGCTGGTCTGTTTTACCGCTCTTGAACAGGATCGATTTTGCTTTGCATGTGAAATTAAACAAGGATTAGTTGGCTAAATTAAAGATGATTTATGATAACTTTAGATAAAGAAAACATTAATCTTTAGCGTAACTGGTTAAAAAGAAAAGTGAGTATCCAAGGCCATCCCATCTTCCCCCATGACTTTAGGGCAGAACCATATGCTTTACAGGGAAAACTGGTTGCGAATGCCACAAAACTGCATGTTTCTGAAGTTGCCAATCTTCAATGCTCAGCATGCTTAAATAACTTTTCTCTCTATCCCATTATACATATTTAAATAAATAATATTTGCTTTGGATCTGCTATTATTTGCAAAACAGCTGCTTTTTGGCAAGAAAAGTCTATAGTTCTTGAATTCCTGGAAAAAAGAACTTGTATATTTTAATAGAGTATTGGTGGAATAAAAAAACCAAGTTACCTATGGACTTGGTGATCAGTCACAGATCACAGATCTGCAAGCCATGTTTCAGTGACATATATCCAGCGCTTTCATTCCCTCTCACATGAGTGTGTAATCCTGGATTATTATGTAGATAAATGTTATGCTCAAGACATTTTCCTTGAGCATCTAAGGGGAGAGGGAGCTTCATTTTTACTCACAGGTAGTTTTTTTCTCGCCTATTCCAATTAGTTAGAAGTCATGACATGAATTAATTGGTTCGAAATACGGAATGGTTACAGTAATGCAAGAAATTTAGAATAATTGGATCAATTTTGTGCTTGCACTGAATCTCAGAAGTGACTTATATTTTCGTTAGTTATCTAAAGCACAGGACTTGTTCAATATAGAAGTGTCCAAAACAGACATTCTCATGAAGAGTGACACGTAATGCCAGAGGAAGTGTCTCTGACCAAGTTGCTGAGTACCACCCCAACTGCCAGAAAAGAAAGCATGTTGAATCTATTAACTAAATCTCCTGCTTTATTATAATCTCTAGGTGCAAATTTGTAGCTTTTCATTTTCTATTCATACTGCTAGAAAGTTTTCCAACCATGATGAAATGTGAAAATAATTTTAGCATAGCTTTCCTGTGCTCACTATGTTTAATGAAAGTTGTACAAGCATAATGGCAGTGCCATCAATTTATATTTCTGTTTTCTTTTAACTAAAAATAAGGGACACAGAATGGCTGTGATGTTTATAAACATTTATAGTCAGCTTTTGAAGATGGATTTTGTTTATTTTACAGTCAATTTTTCTTTGATAACATCCACGTCAACTTGGTGTATTTTGCATCTAAATTTCTCAAGCTGGGGGAACATTTGCACGGTGCATTAGTCAACAATTCACATGTTTCCAATTAACTTAATGTTGCATTAGGAAAGTTACTATGCCCAATTTCCCACCCCAACTCCCATTTATGTTGTCTTGTTCCACTAACCAGTTGGAACTGAACTCACTTAACCTGTAGCTCCCTGGTTCAGTGTGATGGAAGAATAGCAAGCAATAGGACACTTCACAGCGAACAGGGAGTAGATCCCAGGGACCGGTAAGGAAAGGCTGGCAGTGACCAGAAGATTCCTATGAGATTAAGAAGTGGCCTCCAGTCAGTCGTCTAAATATGGCTGGTTAAGCTTTGCAAGAAGAATGTTTCTGATCTCATTGGTTTCACCTATGAGTTGGTATTGCTACCTGAAGGAACTGGGATCCAAAATTCTGATCACACATTCTCTTCTCTGGGCAAGTACATCACTTCTACTTGGCAAATCTGTCAGCTGCCCAAGTTCATGCAGCAAACAAACTGTATATGGATTAATTCTGCATAATGGCATGTTAATCCAAGAACACTTAAACCTTCATGTGTTTCTGCAATTAAGCACTTCTTAGAGACAGGAACAAATATTCATATCTTGTGGTTGTTTGAACACATAGTTGTCCCACATTCATTAAGGGGCATGTTTTCATGTTCGCACAAAGGGAAAAAAAAATTGTTCTTTTGACGCCTCAGATAAAATACCATGAAATGTCAATGATTGCTGTGCTTTGCTGTGGCAGGAACAACCCAAAAGCATCTTGTGCAATCATAATTCTTAAACTCATCGTGTGTCGATTTCCATTTCATGCTGATATATCTGGTTAAGACCGAGGACACCCATATGCTGCCTGGTTCAATTTTTAGGCTTTTGCCAGGCTTTTAAATAGGGCACCAGCACTCTCACCAAAATGTGAAACTGTCTACATTTAAATGCTGGTCAGTCGTTGGAAACTGACTGCAACTTTCATTAAAAAAGTGATATAAACATACAAAATGTGTGCTGGCCCCAGGTCTTCCAGACAGCCTAACTGGTGATTCTAAAAGGTGGAGCTCATTTCTTAGCCTCACAACAATCTTCTGACCAATGTTCAACTTATATCACCCCTCCTGGGGCTTTACTCCCTTCTCCACCTATCTCCCCCATAGTATCATATAATCTATACAGTGCTGAAAGTGGCCGTTCGACCCATTGACTTCACACCAGCCCTCTGAAGAGCATCCGCCCAGACTCAGCCCCCTACACTATAACCCTACATTTACCATAGCTAGCCTACCTAGCCTGCACAACCCTGAATACTAAAGGGCAATTTAGCATGGCCAATCCACCTAACCTGCACATCTTCATTCTGTGGGAGGAAACCCACACAGACACGGGGAGAATATGCAAACTCCATGCAGACTGACACCTAAGGCTCGAATCGAACCTAGATCCCTGGCAGTATGAGGCAGCAGTGCTGACCACTGAGCCACCGTGCTGCTCAAATTGTGTTCACAATGTGTCAGTGCAATGTAAATGAGATCCAAATCTGTCGGGGGCCCTCAGATTGTTGTCATGGGTAGGCATGATGGCTGCTTACCAATATCATTCCCATTTTGGGTCTAACATGAAGATCTCCCCAAAATCTTATTGCTTTTCCATGCCTTTAAAAAAAAGTATTATATAACTGCTATGAGTACAAGACATTGGCTCAAATGGTTGGACATTCGGGTAGATTTCAAAGGATTACAAAGGTCATGTGATGAGAAGGCTATTCAACCCATCTTGAGCTCATCTATTTAAGAAAATACCTACATGCTATCATGGCATCCAACTGTTTCTTAGGTGATTCCAAGATATTGATGTCGGTGCCTTATCTGGAAGTCGGTTTAGGTGCTGAGGACTCTTTTGGGTGACTTGATTTAGTGCTGCAGTGTGAAATAGATGATAGTATATTGGCAGACCATTTACCTTGAGCATAATAAACAGGAGAAGGACTAGGACTTTGACCCCTTGGGCCTGCTCTGTCAATCAGTAAGATCAGGGTTGACCACATTGTGGCTTTTATCCAGCTTCTCCCCTATAACCTATGATTCCCTTGTCAATCAAATCCCTCTGTCGCAATTTTTTTTATCTCCACTGATTTCAATCTTTCAGACTCAATCCTGAAGATAAAGAAAAACATTCTGACGTAGATTGCAGCATCCACTTTAATAAAAGTCATGAAGCATAAATGATTGGATTTAACCTATAGGGTTTTATTTTCTAAAATTCTTTCCTTCATAGCTTACATGCTCAAAGTTTGGGATTGACTTTTCATTTATACCCCTCAAACCATCCTGAGCAACTCACCATGAAATTGGTCTTAATTAAGGATTTAATGGTCCTTCACAGGCAATGTTTATTTCTTAGTAATTTCTGTGAACAGATTTCGGAATGGAAATAAGGCTTAGTGGCAGCACAAATTGCAATAAAGTACATTCTGGTTTTCTATCAGTCTTATTCCCTTTGTGGGTACTTTTCCATAAAATCAATGCGTAGAGAAAATATGGCCCCCAGGAGTATCAGGTTCTTTCATTTTTTCCTCTATAAAACTTATAACATGTTTGCTATGGTTTGTTAGGTAAGCCGCAAGCAGATCTCTCTCCATTCACTTTATTTCCACTCAGGGCATTACTGACTTCCAATTAGAATTGAACAGCACGCGTTTTTCAAAGAAACTACACCTGATTCGTCAGACCAATAGTACTAGGGTATATGTATGATGATTGCAGTCCTTTTGAGGTAGAAATATGTCACAGTATGACCATTTCTCATCATAGGTCTGAGGCAAAGTAAGCCAATCCACACAGGCACTTATCCCACAGCTAAATTTATGGGCTTTTTAAAAATTTAGATGTCCCAGCCAAATACCTACAAAGCATGTTAGCCCCTCCCTCAAGTATGTAAGTTCGACGTCCAATACTCAAGGATTTACGGAGAAGTATATTAATAATAAATGGTCTGCACATCAGGCTTAATCTTGATTCTGTCGTGGCTGGCACAGCGCTCAACTGAAGGTTTCTTTTTCAAAAACAAAACTTGATGGAAATGAACAGTCATCCTCCGACTCCACAGAAGTTGTGGATTCCTCCTCCATCTTACAATGCCAACACCCAGCTTCCAACAGAGGTCACACCAGTAGCCCTCATTCTGGGACTAACCTGCAGGCTGCTGCCATTGAGGCTGGTGGTATGACATTAATCATTTAGCTTGAGTATGGAGACTCAATCAGCTTGTACCATGTATGCTGCCATGTGTGAAGACCAATCTGCCTCAGTGTTCTGGCCTTTCATTTCCAGTGATCATGCAGGGCTGTGTCTGAATGACCTGAAAACGTTGATTTCTAACTCTCGGTACGCAACAATGTTATGTAAAGACGGAACATTCCTTCTTGAAACTTCAGAAACAAATCTGTAAGGTATTCCTTTCAAGACAGAATAATTAAACCAGCTGCATGCACTTTTACTTCCCCCAGAATGTAATGAGTTCATGAATGGGATGTCGCAGAGTGGTTGCAGACAGTGCTACGGTGATTGTATGAGGCTGGCACAGGACAGATAGGTGGGGCACATCATAACATCAGATCTGCTTGAAAGGGTGGTTACAATTAGTAGCCGTGAGTAGAATAATATATCAGTACTTGTTGTGGTCTTGGAAACTCCTTGTAAATACGTTAGTAAATTATGCACTTTGCAACTATTACTCACAACGCATAATGACCAGTGTTAGTGATGACTTCACAAAAATAACCTGACATTGTTAGTTTTGATATAATCAAGTAATACTTACCACACAATAGCTGGCTCACCGATACTCATTTTGGATACTGCAGGAACTATTCCACTTCTGATCTCATTACAGTCCTGTTCCAAACATGAATGAGGGAACAGAATTCCAGAGGTG